AAGAAATCTGTGAGGCTGCCTTAAAGGTTTGTCATGTCCCATATAGACGGTGCAGATGTGCTGCCGTGTGCTAAGGGTGAGCAGATCTGTCCTTCAGACAGGTGTGATTTGTGTGTTCGTTAAAACTCAGTAATGCAAGTAGATTGTATTTGGTGAATGAGTAAGCATATGCTACTTTGCTCAGCTATATCTAATTTTCCCCTTCCCAACATCTCATGCTATGAATACCTTTGTGTGGGAATAAAGAAAATTTACCTGATTTTTCTAATAAAATAGCTGAGTCTTGTATGCAAATGGAATTTATTAATGTTGTTCTGTATCAGTTCAACAATATGGAGAGTCTATCAATTAAGTTTTCTTGTTTATATACACTGTATTACTATATTTAGAACTTTGGGGTATTCCATATATGTATTTCTCAAATAAGTATTTTTCTGTTTGTTCTTGTGAACCTGAAGATATGTGCTAGTCTCAGATCTCATATTTGTGTGTCTATTCTAAAGGTAACCAAATTATTTACCACTGATAGGATGCATTTCATGCTGCTCTAAGTGGCTATGTTCTTTTGCTTTGACTTTTAAATCCTGTAAGGTTGTAAGAAAATATAAATATACCTGAGGCAGATCAGTGCCTGGAAAGAAACCTTTTTCAAAGGAGAAAATAGAAAGATAAGGGATTGCTCATGAGGGAAGTGCTTAGTGCTTTCTAGAAACATACAGGAAAAGCTTCATCTGCTTTCTCTCATCTCATGTAAAAATTAGATAGATGGAATTTCTGTTCAAAAACTTTGCATTCTGCTGTATGTGTCTAGCAATAAGTTCAACCAAGGATGATGTAGCTATAGAGACTCTGTGCTGCTGGAAATAGGTATGTCAGGTATGGCAGGCCCTTGTGCGGGATGTGCCCATGCAGATTCCAAAGGGGTATGTATGCTCCTGGATTAACCAGTTACCTCTTTTCAGTACTTTGAAAGAAGTTAAGGTCTTCACACACATAAGAGCTTTCGGTGTGCGTGTAACCTAAGTTTTTGATTGAACTGATCATTTCGACAGTAAAACTCCCTTTATGGCCTCTTAAAGTATTTTTTTCTCTCACAGAAGTTCCTTTGTAAACCAGAAAAAAAAACCAAACTACCCTTTAAGAAAAGGGGGAAGAGATGCTCAAATTAATACAAGGCAAGATACCATAATACTGGAATTGGATGATTCATACTAGGTCATACAGACATAACTGTTGACACATTACAAAAGGTCCAAGTCCGAGTAAACTTTGGATTTCCTTTCTTGCTATTTTTTTTTTTTAAGAGTTAAAAAAAGAATACTTAAGCTGCACTGAAAAATATTGTAATTTTAACGGCTCTTGACTCTACCTGACAGGAGATTATGAAGACACTGAATTGCCATCTTGCATCGTAGATGGAAAATTAGACATTTGATTTTATTCGTTTCTAACCACCATTTTAGTGGGCAATGTATTGCTTTTGTATCACTGGTGTTTCTCTAACATCTACCAACTGCTTGGATTCTTGTACCATGCTATTATTACTGGTGATAGGGGTTTTTTCATTATTTTTATATTTTGGATGTCTGAGAATTGCAGGTGAAAGCAGATAACACTGCCTTTCAGTCTTTTTCAGCATATTTGAGCAGAACTTGATTTTTAGTTGCACATAACTTTGCTAAAATGGAAAATTTAGTTCTAAGTTATATATTAGCCACCTTCAGCCTTTATATGGAAAATTTTAGCAAATTTTTTTTTTTTTATAAGAAGTGAAACTTGATGGTATGTTTGCACTCTACTAGGGGAAAAACTCTAGCTGTTCTCTTAGAAAAATTCTCATATCCCTTTCAGAATGGATCTGAGGCAGATGGTCTTCATTCAGTATGTCTTGTTATTCATGTGTAAATTTATTTTGATTTAACAAAGTTATTAGCCTTTGAATTAGGCTTAAAAGTCCGTAATATGGATGGATAGAGTTTTGCAGTCAAAAGTAACAAAGATGTTGTATTAAAGGCATTTTATCACAAGCTGGAATGAGCAGAGCTTAATTTGCAGTTTCAGTAAGCCGATACCTCAGACCACGGCTAGGATCAGGACTTGGGCACAGGAAAGTATTTTCAGTCCCAGTCTGATTTTTGTAATCTCTGTAGCAGAATTAGGAACTCTTCCAATTTGTTTGCACCCAACAGACAAAGTGTAAAAAGTGCAAGAGAATTAGAAGTGTGGTGGAGGTTCGGAATCACGAGTTGAGGCCTGGGGAGAAGGGACCTTTTTCCAGTGTCAGGATGGGGTGTGAGCCCGAGAACTGTGGTGCTTAAGTCTTAGTTGATAGTAAATACAGTGATGTGGGACATGATGGTGTGAAGGATACATATGGGCATGAACAAAAATTGTCCAATAATTGCTGTATGTATTAGGATATGTTAACTAGAGAAGGATTTGTCTCATTTGTCTCAGCAAATTTATCCTGATCTCTGAGTGAATTGTGTTTGTGTATGAATAGAAGCTGCTGTCTGTAGGATTGCTGCTGCCTTCCTCCCAGAACTTAGAATAACATGTACTGATGAAAGCTGAGGAAAAGTCCTGTAGCTGTGTTCAGGCTGTGCTTGTTCTACAGTTCCTAAAAAGTACAACCAAATCACTTAAATGTAATTTTTCACAGGCAGACTTTTTTTTTTTTTAATGACCATCTGGGATATGTAAATCTGATTAGCAGCTATAAATGTAGTCCATAGAAGCAAAGTTTGGAATATGCAAAGAGGTAAAAAATGGAGGGGAAACTCTGCAAAGTCAAGTTTAAACAGTACTAAAAGGCCCTGTATTTTTAATTCATAGTCTCCTGGCCTGAGTTTTTCATTGCATGGGTGAAAGAAAAAAAAAAAATGATTCATACTAGATCATACAGACATAATTGTTGGCACATTACAAAAGGGCCAAGTCTGAGTAAACTTTGGATTTCCTTTCTTGCTATTTTTTTTTAAGAGTTAAAAAAAAATACTTAAGCTGCACTGAAAAATATTGTGTCTGTGGGATGCTGTAAAACTAAATCGATGCAATCAAATATATTATGAAGGTTACTATAGAAAAGTACCATTTAAAAATCGAATCATACTTTCCATCAGGGATTTTGACTAATGAGCAGTGGGATAAGATATGCAGACCCACAAATAGCGGAGAGAAGAAAACATAGGATGATGACTGATCTTTGTCAGCAGTATTAACTTGCGTGAGGCTAGTGAAAAAGCTCATGTGCTTTCTGAGGCTAAACCACAGTAAAATCTACCCACACCGAAGAGCGGGATTAAAGTTGCATGAAAAACATTGCTTCTAATACTTTCCAAATTTGGAATATTTGCTTTTCAAAACTAAAGCTAATTTTCCTGTGTAAACTGTAAGTAAATAACATAGTACTTAAACTTACTCAGGGGGAATTATATTTTCTTTACCTTATTAATATTGACAAATAAAAGACAAGGAGGCTTACTAAATGTGCAAAGCTTAGTACCTGTCTAAATCTTGCCTTATTGCCTGTGCAGTGACCACAATTTTATTACTATTGTAGAAAGGATGTCTTCTAAAACACTTTTAGAAGATTTGAAGAAACTAATGTCAATCAGAAATACTGAACAATACTGCGATAGAATAGATATAACAGAAAATGGTACACAACAAAAATAGCATAAAGCAAAGTCAAAAGTGTTTGAAAAGAAGCACTGTCTTAAAAGCTGGCTTCCATTCTGCTCATAACTGTGTGTGTTTTGCCATATTTTAGTGGAGCACACATGATAAAGGAATGATGAACAAGAAGAGGAAAATTGAATGTGTCTAGTAATTCTTAATATGCTATGAAAATATTTGTTATGTCTGGTAACAAAGCTGGTAATTTTTCCTGTGAAGAGCCACATTAACTACAAACTAAATCAGAGTGTAGAAAAGAGCCTGGAGATGGTAACAGTTTATTGCAACCTTACTTCTGCAGTAGCAGTCCCAACACTCAATTTAGGAGTTTGTCATCAAGACTGATTTACTTTGGCCTTGAGTGTAGTTCATTATTTATTTTGTAAACCCACAAGCCATTTGGCTGCATCTAATAATGTGATTCGTTGTCCTTGCATCAGACCCTAATGCATAAATTTAAAAAACGTAGAGGAGCAGAGAGTGAAGATGGTAGTAGGGTCCTAGATTATTTTTTTTACCTTGTAATTCAAGAAGTCCTCCACAGTCTTCTGTAGCAGACACAAAATAACACCGTGGGGTGGAGAGAAGATGCATGGGTTTAAGGTAACAAGAATGTGTCTACGTTTAGGGAATGTAATGGTCCTCAGGGAGTATCTCTCCCATTCAGGGTTAGAATACACTTCCTCAGTTATTTCAGCTATCCATGATACTATTTAGAGAAGTAGTGACATTTCAGAACTCCTCAGATCAAAAATTATTTCTTACTCTCAGTCATGGAACCACATACAATAAGCTTGTATGTATTGTCCACACACACAAATTATAGTACTTTTAACAATTCAGTTTCAAGAAAGTAGGAAGATTTCCACAGGAAAAAATGTTTATTTTGGTGTGCTTTGTTTTTGTATGCTTTAGTATAAACTTGACACCAGGTCAGTTGTCTCTTTACTATTACAATTCAGTTTCAAAAAGGAGAGAAAATAGCCCACAAATACCAGACTCTGAAATGTCATCAGATTTGTCCTATAAAAGGTGGCTGGCTAGGCCAGTGAAACCATGAGCGAGGGAGCAAGCACACAGAGTGGCAGCAGGCATTCATGAGTTAGGTGTGCAGCAGGCTGAACTAGGACTTTGAATGCTGCTACTGGTGGTAGGGTTGCAACAGTGGGTGAAAAGTCTCCAAGTGAGCTAATGTAGACTTTGCTTAAGAATCATTAACTAAATCCCTGTTTCTTTTCGTGGGAGCTTCAGCTGAAGTCACGTGACCTGATGTAAAACAAGATCATTACCTATCAGTGCAAACATATGGCAAAGTCTGCCCATGTTATTACTTATCTCGAAGAGCGCAAGGGGGCTGTGACATTTCAAGCAAAGCTTATTGGTGAGGGAGTTTCTATGTGAGCTTTCTTAAGGAAGCACTTCCTTTTTAATCATAATACTGTGTGGGAAAGTATACCAAACATTTCTCTCTAAGAGACCACAAGATTTACATAATTCTTCTGCTCCTATGGAAAGAGAAGAAATGCTGATACAACAATCTGTTATGGCTGTAAGCTTTGCATTTACCTGTACTGTGGAAAGTTAGTTTCTTGTTTTCTGAGATGCATTTCTCAGGAGAGGATGGTTTTGAAGATTACTTTAATAGAAGCGTTGTTGCTGCCCATGAAAGGGTTCCTTCTGGTATCTTGGTGAGTTTGACAGATTCATTGCTAAGTATGGGTATGTAATTTCCTGTAGTGTAGTTAAAATATATTAAAAAAAATGACTGTCTGTAATTAATACTATGTGTAAGACTTTAGGCATTCAACAGACTTAGTTTGTTTCCCATTTTTGTTCCATAAGTGCTCTGTGCAGTACCAGGAGCAATCCTAAATCCCAAATAAAATTTGACTTAGGAGCAAAAATGTTTTTGACAAGTAGACCTGATGCTACAGTGGTCCTGTTTCACACGGTCATTTCCCCTCTCACCCCCCAGTCTTTTCAGGGTACAAAATAGAAACTAGTGAAACACTTGCTAAAGATTTTGCCTGGTTAAGGAAAGCTCCTGCCTCTTAAATAAATGTACATGCACATATAGGCAAGATGAGATAAATTGAGGGAAACTATTGTTATGCATGTTTTTAATTTTGTTTTTCTACCTAATCTCTTGAAACAAATGTAACTTTACTGTTTACATCATGTGGCATTAGACTATCTTTTAGTCCTCTAAATATATCTGAAAACAAATGGGATGTATAAAAAACTACTCTCATGTAAGCTAAGATCTACATTTAAGTAACTTTTTTTTTGCAGTGATAGTTAAAATTCATGCCTTCAAAAGCTGTATCTCTCTAGAGCAATCTGGTAGCTTGCCTTTGAGTAACTTGCACTCTTTTTCTGTTGTTGAACTGGGCATTTGTAGTGTTCGTGTTCATATGGGTGCACCTGTATAAAAGATGTTGGCTTTAAGAACACAAAAATGCAGCTTTTACTAAAGCACTACTCCAGATGCACCGAAAACACAAATTTGTGGACAGCCTTTTGATTATATGTTGCACTTGTATATGGATATTACTGAATAACATAAAAAAATCTGTTCAAGAAAACATGTTGGTTTTGTAGCAGCCAAAGTAACATCTTTGTTAATGGGACATAGATACAATTCCTATCCACAAAACCTCCCACTCAAGTTATGCTGATGTAAGCATTTCCTGGTGATGAGTTTTGAATATTTGGCTACCGGTCAGTAGAGCATGTTAGATACTTAATCTGAGCTGTAGTACTGTTTAATCATTGTTTCTGAAAGCTATTCTATTCCTCACTGCTCTAACATGAGGAAGTCAACCAACATATGCAGGGTTAATATTAGTTTAACTGATTTAAGTATTTTATAGATGGAGGCACAGAATTTTATTTTTATTTCTTTAACATCCAAAGTAGGTATTTTCTTTCTTGTGACTGATTTACTTTTATGCTAGCTCTCTCTCAAAAAAAAAAAAAGGCAAAAAAAAAAAGCAGTTTCAGTTTCTGGCTTTTGCAGTGTAATGGCTTCTTGCCAGAAAAAAATCTTTTTTTATGATAGAGGACAGGGAGATCCTTCCCCCCATTCCAATTACAGTCACACTTAGCTTAGTAGTATTAACATATTCAGCTATAAGAATTTTTGCAAACTAGGTAGTGTTGCTTAAACATCAACTGCTTAAAAGTCAATCTCTCTGGAGCCTCAGAAGTCACAAAAAGTGTTTTTCCACTTTGAGGCCTTAGGTATGGGTAACCTTTTGATTTGCTATCCGAGTTACATTAACTTTAGATTTTATGCAGATTTCTGAAATTTGACTGCACCAGGTAATGTTTATACTCTGGATATCAAAATAAATAAAACTTAAAAGCTAAACAGCATTTTTGTAAACTAAATGTTTACTAAGCATAAAATAAAGAATGTTATTGAGGAAATACTTTGTCTTACTGGTTATTCTGTCGTCAGACTATTTCTATTGCATGTGCAAGAATTAACACCATAACACTTTACACTGTTCCTCTCTATAGTCAGATTCAGCACTGCTTGCCACAAGTTTTACAAAAAAAAACCAAACCCCAAATTTTAAAGTCTCCTAGCTGGAGTTTATGTGACATTTAAGAGAATATAAACGTCTCATGTTTCTTAGGTATGTAGTGACACTTTATTTCTATTTGATCAGTTGCTTGCTATGGTTAGAACCTTCTTAAATAATGTGTTTATCTTACATAGTGAACCATTATGTTAAAAGTTGAACTACAACCTGATAAGCAATATAAAAATTAGTTTCTGATCTACAGTTGTGTTTACTTACAATGTACAAAGCAATGTTTGCATTAAGGCTTGGATCATAAAAAGCTTCTTTCCTTATAAACATTGTTTTTAATACTCAATAGGTTCAAAAGTTCACAGCTTTCACACGTAAGAGGTTATACTGTGTATGATTGTAAAAGTGGCTGTATGCTGTGAGCTACAGTTATGTAACATCTATAAAAGAGATAACTTTTGCTACTGGAAAGCAAGAATATATGTAACAAGTGAATGCTTCAGTCTTGTGGGTTTTTTAGTGGTTTTCTGTGGTTAGACATGGTCAGTTAGCATGTATGTGAGGAAAAAAAGATTATCAACTGAACTAGGTTTTCAGCAGTTGCTGTGAAATTCTGATCTTTTAAACTGTTGCTGCTTAAATGATAAGATAATTCCTTGCTAATGTCTGCTTCTCGAGTCCTGTTAATTGAAATGAAATATATGGAACAGAGACTTTAATAAAGACTTCTATTCCTGATTGCGCCAAACATTTCTTTTAACAAATTCAGTCTCCTTGGTGACATGAAATCAACTTTTCTTTGTAAGCCAATACTGTGCACTCCTCTGGGGAGTGGCCAAGGTATAACCATGAATGATAAATGACTATATGTTAGAGAATTTTTCCTAAGATTTAGAATAAAAATTGACTGTCATTGTAGGGGAAGACTGATTGCTTAAACATTAAAGCAGCGCTACCTTTCTGTCTTGGGTTACAGTGCCATGAAATGCAGCAAATACCTCACTTGTCAAAATGAAGATGTTCAGTTCCCTACCCCAGCCTTTTTTTTTTCTTGCTCTCTGGTGCTGCTGTGTGCGTTGTGACTCTTTGGTGTTTGTCACGCTCTTCTTTGTGAGCTAATCTAATTTACTAACCCCCTGAAACAAATAACAACAAAAAGATGGGTAGACTTCTGCCTGCTGTGTCAGTGAGCTAACATCAGCTTATTAAGAGGGTCAGATGAGGAAGGATTGAAGTGAGACTTAACCTTTTAGCAAGAGTGAGCTATTATTTCGTTAAAAAGCAGTCAGTTTTATAGTTGTACATGAAACTACTTAGAGATGAAACTGAATTTTATTAATCACTAATGTTGATAGGGAGTCCATTCTGCTAATCTCATTAGTCACTCAATGACAGTCTGTTCTTTTTGTCTTCATCAAGTATATTGTACAAAAAACTACAGGAGAAAATTCTCGAGCGTGTTACCTAGCACAGTAATTCTGTGGATAATTTTAAAACAGTTTTAAGTCTGTTTTGGAAAAACCTTTTTTTTTTTCTTTTTAAGTCTTGTGGAGAGGAAAGAATTCTTTTTCAAAAATCTAAAGACAATTAGGTAATGTATGTTAGGCTTGAGAAGCCTGAGATGGAGAAAAATACTTCGGTAGCTGCTCTGAGTCTGTGAAAGTAGTTTTAGATTTCCTGCATGTTTACAATTATATCGGTACTGTTAGATTCTACAAAAGTAGCTTGCTTTTGAATTAATGCAATATACCCTGTGTTACTGTAATGAAGACTTTGAAGGCTCAGAACAGAAATAATTGGTAAATTACCTATGTAATGAAAGCAGTATCAGGAGGAAGAACTCTTGTAGTGCAGTACAGCTTTGTTTGGAAGCATTAAGAAAATCCTAAACCGTGTTAGGAGGCAAATAAAAATAGATTAGCAAGTAGAAAAATAAATTCACTGTAGATTACATTTGTAGAAATATTATCTCAAAATAGTATTTTTATAATTTAGGCCCCATTATGCATTCAGTGTTGTGTGTTTTGCTTGTTTGCAGTGGCTCTTTGTTCTCCCAAATAAGACTTTTCACTTTAGAGGCATGCAGTTGCTTGGATATATTTGAAATGAGCTTGTAGCAGTCTTTTGGGTAGGAGTCAGGAGACAGCAGAATGAGGAAGGGTTGCACTTAAGTTTCCAGTAGAACACTTTCACGATTTTCTCTCCTCTTTCTATTAAAGCTAAGATGTTCTGAGAAATATTTGTACTTCATTTCTTACTGGCTGTCATAGTTCATATTGTATTCTTAGTCTGAAAGACTTGCAGTCGTTCAAAATTCATTCATTCACTTACATATTTTTCATGGATTAGACAGAACGTTCGATAAGTGATTCTACGTGTTCTTCATTTATCTTGTTTGACTATAGCATAATCTTACTCTGTGCATCTTCCTTTCCTTGTATTCTATCCTGAACTCCCCACTCTTATCTAGTCAGATTCCTTCATCTAGACTACATATTGTTATTTTTCAATTTCCTGATGTCAGGAGTATGAACAAGCACAAAAAATTGTAAAAAAATTGTTTTCTCTTGACTGAAACTTTGTGCAACTTGTGGAAGGTAGTTAGTGGGTAAGATAATGCTTTACACTTAAAATATTATATTGCATGAGTTTGTAAACTTGGTTAAGACCTACTTGTCACATATGAAAATGTATTTGGAATTTAGTGTTTATTCTTTAGGTGTAATTTCTGTGGAAATAATGGCTGCTAGCTAGTAAGTCATCTGCTTCTCATGGACAAGAAGTGTGTTGAGAACAAGGTCGTGTTTCTAGGTTCACTGCCTTTTCACAGAGCAAGCTTTACTTCAGCAGCTTTTTTAAGTATAGATACCTACAAGCTTCATTAAGCTGTTTAGAGAAGTATGCATTGTAACTGTAGGTGATACTTATTGTAGTTTTATTTGATCAAGAGTTAATAGGAGAGTCTTGGTAACTTTGAGTATCTGGCATCACCTACCACAGGTGGAAATCTTCATCTCAGTTTTAACTTCTGAAGGTTGATGGCAGTGCTTTTCAAGAAAGATTTTTACAAGCTCATGATTTTATGTTGTGAGATGTTTTAGTACTTGTTTCATGGCAAATGAATTCACTGGTGGTGTGCTTTCCTTATATAGGAAGAAAACTGTATTTCTTCCATATTTGTTTTATGCACACTTATTCTCAAACCCCTCTATCTCCCAAAAGATCTTTTAATAAGTGAAGTCTATGTAACTTTTCCTGACTTTTAGATTTTTTTTTTTGTGTGTGTCCTTATGTACAGTTATCTTCATTTTCAGTTAGAGGATCAGGTGTATTACATGGGCTGTCTTCAGAGAATGATTTGTCTTTTTAGCTTATTTGAGAAATTAAGCAGCACTTGAGTCCAGGCTTTGGGATTTAAAAATTACATGCTTCAAAATTTACTTTAAAATATTTAAATAATCATAGATTCAGGTTGATAAGCTGTTAGGAATAGGTTTTATAACTCTGCAGACTGTTAGTAATACAAGAATTGGCTCAAAATTCTTGAAGGCATTTGTGTAAAGCTTGTTACTATAATCAGAGTAATTGATAAATGACACTGCACATCTATTTAGAGGTTTCTTAAAAATGGATTTTAAAAAAACTCTTTATGTTTTTAAAATTTATTTCCTTTTTTTTTTTCCCCTTTCTCTCCCTTAGTCTCAGACTATGAACTACGTAGGACAACTTGCAGGACAAGTCCTGGTTACTGTGAAGGAGCTGTACAAAGGCATCAATCAGGCAACCCTTTCAGGATGCATCGATGTCATTGTGGTCCGGCAGCAGGATGGTACATACCAGTGTTCTCCGTTTCATGTCCGATTTGGGAAGCTTGGTGTATTGCGCTCTAAAGAAAAAGTGGTAAGTTCAGAAAGGGAGCCAAAACAAAGTTTTGAATTCCAATGCATTCACGTTTTTCCCCCTTCTTCCTTCCTTCCCTAGCCCCCTACATACCCAGTTAGCAGGCTGATTTAGTACAGAGCAGTTTCTCATATATGCTGTACAGAGTGATAGTTTTGGAATGCGAAACAGAACTTCCTGTGGTAATCTAAGGACTCAGCAAAAAAATACTGTGGAAAAAAAAAGCTCTGACAGCTCTTAAGCTATGCAAAAAGAATAATACAAACATGTAGACTTCAAAGGCTTAAAATGTTTACATGGCTCTTTATTTTCTTATTTAAGTATGCTGGGAAAGAAATGCTTAATGCCATGTAACTGATCGTTGATGTTGCAAGCAAATATTTTTGGAATGTCTGGAGGACAAATAGAGCATGTCTTAAGGGTTGGTGACCTATCATAAATATTATTCCTTGTTAGCTCTGTTCAAGGCTGATATGCAGTAGAAAATGTAGTTATTAATATCCACAAGCAAATAAAAACTGGGATTGAAGCGTCATTCCTATGTGAGTGTATTTGAGAGAGAACCTGGTACAGTTCCCTGACCAACCAGTCTGACATTGCCGCTACCCAAGCAAATTGTCCTGCCATCATCCCCTTTCCATAGGCTTTAGTAGTCTTGCCTGGGGAGTGAGTTGGATTGGGTTGTAAATTTGACTGAAAAATGGAGCAGTTGTGAGGGGACTTTACATTACTGTCAGTAGGGAGTACTGTGTGTGGCAGTATTGCTTGTGGGTCCGCTGCCACAGGATGGATTGATTTTAACAGATCATAAAACCTCAGGATTATGTGCTGCTTTTCTCAGAAGTGAAAGGACACTGCAGAAAACAACTCCCATCTTTATATTTGGTTGTAAAAGGAGAATAAAGTGTAACCAAAAGAGCAGTTATGTTGGGGCATTTTATATTTTTTTTGTTTTGATTTCCCACATGCTAGTGTTTTTCTTAATGAGCATGCTGATGACAAAAAGTTGATTTTCCTTAACAGTTCTGCAGCAGATTACATTAGAGTTTTTCAGCAAGGTACAAGGGAGGTGGTATAGCTGTACTTTTTCTGATGTTTAAGCAAATGAGATACACTTAACAACGGGAGTGATCTGAAACTTGAGCTTGCTAAATGTCTTTAATTACACTCCTGAGATGCTCAGCCAAATTTGAGAGGATTTCAGCTTCTGGGTACCTCTAAAAAGCTGTTGAATAGTAGAAACATCTCTTGGTACCTGCTGTACTAGGCTGTCAGCATAGTTCTCAGCTTTTGCTTGAGTGGATGGCTGCTGCTTCTTGCTCCCTTCATCCTTTGAGCTGCTGTTCTGCATTTGAGTGTTCTCTCCATAGTCAAGTGAATGGTCCTTACTGTGTTGTGTATGCATTTTTCTCTGGCATGTTATGAGGGTAAGATCAGTTGGTAGTCTCAAGATGTATGGGAACATAAAATATGCATATCTGTGCTTCAGCTCTATACTTAAGATATATATTGAAGTCCCCAGAAACCAGCATGAAGTATAGGTACTAAAATTAGGGATGTTTGTCTAAATCAGCATAAAGAAATTGTTGAAAAAAAAACCAAAAACAAAACACTAAGGTAAGGTAACTTTTTTTTTTTTTGAAAACTCATGTTACTGAATTGGAAATTCAAGAAAATATCTTAAGAATACACTGTTCAGTAGTGACATAAATCTGATTTTCAGATCAAAACCATTCAGTTCTTCTTGTGGGGGGAAAAAGACAAGCTCTTCTCTTAAGCATTTGGGTATAGTCCCCATGCATGTTTGGTTATCTCCTTGCAATTTATCATCTCCTGTGGTTGGGTTTCCTTGGCTAATGGTTTTATTCTCATAAATGGGTGAATAACAGAGTGGATTAAGATACATGGATACTGTCTTTCTTAGCACTGCGGTGGTTTTTTTTCTTGTCAGTCCATGTGCTAATCTTAAAATTAATCCTCTTTCCTTTTTGACTGGCCATTTCATGTCATGATAACTAACTGTGAATAAGAGTATTTATATCACAATACTAGCTGTATGGCCTAGTGTGTATTTTTTATATATATATATATATATATAGACAGGAAACTAGAACCTGAGTAGTGTAAATATTGAATATCTCATAGCAATTACAGTATTTAACTTGATCTCCTTTTGACAAAAGTTTCTAAACTATATATAATGTGAAATGCTATTGGTATTTTCTGCAGTAAGGCAAGTCCATTGTGTTTCTGTCTGACATGTATTACATTATTTTTAATTAGCTAGGCTAAATGCAGATATACAGATAGGATTAGATAAGCAGATTTACTGAAAAGTAAGGTAATTTTATCTGAATATTAAACACTTTAAAAAAAAAATAATGGAAAACTGGATGCCCAAGATTTTGCAAAGAGGAGGAAGTAAAATATTTGTGTCTTGGTTTAAGAAAGACTTTTTTTTTTTCATTTTATTTCATACGTGTGGGGAAGGGCAATCTCTCCCTCCTGTGCAATGTAATCTAATTTAAAGTACCTTTTCATGAGGAAAAAAACCCCCATTCTTTCTCTGACGAAAGCACTGTCGTTGCAGAAGGGTTGTGGTCCTATGTCATATCCTCATAAACTCAAGAGCAGGAAAATCTGAAACAACATTAGCTGAGTTGCAGAAATAATCGTGGCAGATCTGTGTTCCATTGGAACAAAGCTTGCCTCCAGGAGGCTTCCAGTTTGTCATCTTGAACTTTTGATGTTCAGGACTCGGGTTCATACTGGGCCCCAATTCAGGTTGAGCTCTAAACATATGGACATGAACAGTCTCAATCATTCTTCCAGGAAATAAAGACTAGATATGTGATTGGTTTTTTATGCTACTAGCTCTCCAAATTAGTTGAACAAGATTCAGTCTTTGGATGTTTTTTACTGTCTTCTAATTTTGCTTGTAGGTGTTAGGCTCTCTGCTAGGAGCATGATGTATTTTGCAGGTTAACAAAATAAAGACCATTATTATAACAGACTTCTTTCAAAAAGCAGAGGGAGGAGAAAGAGGCATGATTTTACAATGGAACAAAGTTTACTCCGAGAGCTAAGTGGACCTTGGTGTCATTGCTTTCCCCTATGATGAATTATTTACCTTAAATTGTCTCTTTCCACAGATTGATATAGAAATTAATGGCGATGCTGTTGATCTTCATATGAAACTGGGTGACAATGGAGAAGCTTTCTTTGTACAAGAAACTGAGGAGGAAAATGTAAGGACTTTGTGCTTCATAATGGCTACAATGCAGTATTAACAGAATACTGTGTTAAAAATGCTTAATATAGTGTTATCAGTATTGTAACTTTTATGAAAGCTAGATTTCTGTGACTGAATCTTAACATCACTTTCACATGCTGCCAAGATGCTTAGTGCTTTGTACAATTCTGCTACCAGTGATAATAAAGTAACTAACTCTTTTTTTTATTAGATCATTATTTGAAAGATTTGGGGTTTTTTAAACTTTATTTTAGTATATTCATTCTTGTTGACTGCAGTTATACGGATTGTAGACTGTATAATAATAATAATAATAAGTTTTGCCTTAAGTTTTTATAGCTTGTGCGACTGACCTCTGTACTAACAATGGTTGTCTATCTTGGCATATATTTAATTTGTCTTATAATATTTAGCACAGTTTTTCACAATTTTATCTGTGAAACTTTCACTAGTTAACAGTAATTTCTTCAACTTGAGAATTCTTGTATTATAATACAGCAATTAAATTCCCAAGAACCTATTGCATCTGGAAGCTAATGAACCTCTGAAAAACAGGAATAATCGTTAATTTTTAGTCTTATTTCCTACAGATATGGGACCTATGTAATCATAATATTTGTCAGTCCTGAGCTTTAGTTTTGATCACTTCTGAATCTATTGGCGTTTTTAATCAAGACAGAAGGAAAGAAGTTCTAAATACAAAGTTCCAAATGGTTTAATGAAAGTAGTCAGTCAGAGAAGAGAGGAAAAAGAAAATTGTCTCAGTGAAGTAAAAGAGGAAGCGTTAATTTCCTATTGTTATTAGAAATCAGAGTCTTTCAAGTTTGATCCACTTTTTAGTTTGTGGCGCTACTTGTTTTCTGTGAGGGATCAGAGGAAGCTCTCATTTTGGAAGGAGTTAAATATAATTTAAAGTGGAAGGAGAAAATAATCATTAAGACCCTAAATGATAACTTGGGGTATGCATTCGTAGCATTTAAGAGAAAGGAACATTGGGTTCTGTTTTAACATACACCAAGATTAAAATCAAAACTGAAAGCAGATTTTTAATAGATGTGGGCTGTGTCAGCCATTGGTGGGAACTGATCATCCTCAAGAATTTCAGAAAGCAAGGTGATAACCACCACCTTTGTCCCCAGTACAATGTTTTGAAGGAGTTGTTGCTCTTGCTTAGTATGTTTTGGTTTATAACAAGAGCTCCTTATCTGTGTATAATGTGTTCTGGAAAGCTGGTATGTAGTTCATGCTGAAACTGTAGATTGAGTTAGCTACAAAGCAGATGAGTTGTTTTTTAGTGGTTGTAGACATACTGTAGATCAGTATTTCTGCTACTGATCCATTTGTCCTTGTGGTCATCTCTTGAAGCTATGCTTAAGGTATCAGTGTTAAAGCTCTTACTGAGTTCTCAGTGTATTCAGAAAGGTTCTTTCAAGTGTTTAGTCTTTGCTGTTTTCAGATTTTGACATTCAGAAGTAACACCACATGTCCCAATTCACATAAATCAGGACTATTGTAGTGTTACTTTCAGGCATCATTTTTCAGCTAGTTTTCTTTTAACTTTTCCTCTGTTTTTTAATTTTTTTGTGTTGTTATTCTGGGTTATTCGTCACTAATTGTATAGAATATTAACTTTATTCTAAGTGCTATCATTTTATTTGGAGGTTATTCACGATGCAAAATCTGTGTGTCATTAGTGCTGGATAAGGTTGTGTTTTGTTCTCCTTTCTCCACTTCTCTCTACTTTGCAACCAGTGGAACAAGACTTGATCTGTAACTCTTAACTCAATGGAAAAATTGAATTTCATGTTAAATAATAGCAGTTCAGACTTTGAACATAGCAAAAGTAGTATCAGTGCTCCGACTGTTTCTGATCACAGTGTAGTTCCTGACTAATCTTCTGCGTAAGAGTCTTCTAAAATAACAGGCTTCTTGTAATTAGTTCTATTTTTACCATGAAATTAAGCTACATAACTTTTTCTCTTTCTCCTCGCTATGCAAATTCCATTCTCTTCTGGTTTTGTTCCGCTTTGTCCCTTCACAGTGTGTCTCTTTCAGTCTAGGTGTCAATATCTTGAAGTTTCTTGTTATGATGTAAATAAACCCCAGGCTTTACCCCAGGTAAAGCTTTTCCTTCAAAAGGCTGTGACTTGTAATCAGTTGAAGGTTGGTTGTTTGTTGGTTTTAACGTGAATAAATTATAGTTGAATTTTTCTTTTTGAAAGATACTTTACATAAATAGTGTCTGACATGGATGACGAGACTGAATGCACCTTCAACTATTTTGTGTATAACAGTGAACTGGGAGGAGAGGTAGACAGGCCAGAAAAAGAGCCACCACATATAGCAGACTTGGCAGGCTGGGAGCCTGGACCAACAAGATTCGTGCAAGGTTTAACCAAGATAGTCGTGAAGTCTTGCATTTGGGTTGGAAGAGTCCCACACAGCAGTACAGGCTGGGGTCTGACTAGGTGCAGTGCATATCTGCTGTAAAGGCTGGCACTGTGCCCTGGCAGCATTGAAGGCAAATGTGCCCTAGGCTGCATTAGCAGGAGTACAGCCAGCAGGTGGAGGGACATGGGATTGTCCCACTCACCCTGGTATATATTAGACCAAACCGGGAATGCAGTTCTGCTCTGCCCGGTCTCACCAGTTCGAGGGAGTCATGGAAAATTGGAGGGAGTCCAGTGGAGAGCCACCAAGATGATCAGAGGGTTGGAGAAGCTGACATAGGAAGAAAGGTTGCTGGAATTGGCTGTGTTCAGCCTAGAGAAGAGAAGTCTCAGGAGGATCTAACCACAGTTTTGCAATACCTACAGGGTAGTTCTAAAGCAGATGGAGGCACTCTCTTCACAAGGATGCCTGATGATAAGACAAGGGGCAAAGGGCACAAGGGTGAAATTCCAGCTGGATACGAGAAAAATCCTTCACTGTGAGAACAATATAACACAGGAATATGTTGTCTGGATAAGTGGTAGGCTCTCCCTCACTGGAAGTACTCAAGCTTTGGCTTGACAAGGCCCTGCATAGCCTAACCTGAGACCCTACTTTCAGCACAATATTAGATCAGATGATCTTCTGATGTCCCTTCCAACTTACACCTTGCTGTGAATGTTTTAAAATAAATAAGACAGCAGTGGATTTAGTTAGTCTATTTTTATTAACACATTTACTAAACATGGATAGAACTGAAGTGCTCAAGGGCAGATAATTTCCAAAACATTGGACTTACTGGGTATTTGTTTTGCTAGCAAAATCAATTGTTTGTGTTTGACACTGTAAGAATACTAACGCTCATTTTTCTGAACTTTTTGTAATTTCTGTAGTGAACTTGGTTCCTTTCTGGATATCAGCTTCATACCACTGGGCTATTGTATGGTTTTATGCCTAAATATAGATGCAGGGGTTAATCTGTAGCTGACAACTATGCTGTATGCACAAAACAAAGTAAAAAAAAAAAAATCTATTTGCTATTTTCTTTTTTTGCTTAGGAAAAGGTTCCTGCATATTTGGCAACATCTCCAATACCCACTGAAGACCAGTTTTTTAAAGACACTGACAATCATTTGAAATCAGGTGAAAATGAGAGAACATGTGTGAGCTCAGAAATTCCACACTCTGTGGAAACAGAGACTGTATTCACCCCGGGTTCTGTGAAAAAGAAAAAAAGAAGAAGAAAGAAATACAAACAGGATAGCAGGAAGGAAGATCAGATCTCTTCTACTGGGACAGAAGAGATTTTTGAAATGGAAATAAGCTCAGATGATGAAAAAAGTGTTCAGCCCCTAAGGTAAGCTGTCAGATAGTTGGGGACTGCTTTCACTGTTATCACTGAAGATTTAAAAGGTGACTTGTACCTTTCCTCTATGCAAGTAGCCCAGAAGTTTCAATAGGCTCTGGGTAGGCTTTTCCTCAAACAAACAAAACTTAAACCATTGTCTTCCACATCTTTACAGAATCCTTCAAGTTTGGCCATTTTGTTATGAACCTGAAATCCAATTAAGCCCATTCTGGTAAAGAAGTGTTGTCATGATCTGTTGTGTGACTGAGGAAAAGTTTCAGTGTGATTTCTCTGATGAGGCAGAGCGGTCGTCTGGTGTGTTTGGTAACCTCTACATAATCTGCGGTCTGGAATGCCTGCAGTGCGCAGTACCTGAATTTTACTTCTCTGTGACTTGGAAGTTTACTTTGGTAACTGAAAACTACTTGAGTGAATGCTCCTTCACATTAGTAAAGAGAATTCTTTACATGTGTGTAGTCATAAAGGGAGGGGAAAAAAAAACCAGTCCTGTATTTTGAAGTGGAAACACTCTTAGTAAAGTGGAGATAAAGTGTAGCTCATACTAATAAGCTGTGGAAGCTTATATAAGTAAGCTTAGGAAAAATTATAGTGATAGAAGAAAGCTATCAAGCATATAAATGTTCAAAATCCAGGAAAGGCCTACTCACCAGTTTTATTGTGGAAGCTTCTTAGGCTGCTTAACAAAAGAAGTGGACTTTTCTTTTTTTTTTTTTTTTTTTAGACAAAGCTAGCTGCATTATTTGACAGCATTACTGTTAAATATAGTACTGTCTGCATAATTTCAAGATCTGGTCTGGGAATTGGAAGAAAGTTTTGGTATAAGACAATAAAGTATAACTGAAAAAACTCCTTTAGTATGGGTCTACAAAGGAGTCTCAGATTTAATAAGTACCAATCAAAAAGGTTAGTGCAACAGAAAAACATTAATCTAATTATTGTCACACCTATGACCAATAAAATCAAAAAGGTTAGTGCAACAGAAAAACATTAATTATTGTCACACCTATGACCAATAAAACGCAACTAACAAAATTTGGATTTGAAAGTGTTTTCTAGAATGTCTGTGGCTTTCTTAGTTAATTTACATTATTTTTTCGCTGCCATATTTATGTCAATGAATTGTCATTTAGATATTCAGCTGCTTTGTTTAATCTGGGAATTGGCATTTTGTTTGGTTTGAGGTTTTTTCTTTTTTTTTTTTTTTTTTCCAGTTTAGGAAAGACAAGATCTTTGTTCAGTCTTCAGTTTGAGAGTGTTAAGACAACAATAATTTGTCATAGTGAAACCATAAAAAATAAAAATAACCATCAAGTACAGAAAGAAAGAAAATGTAACCCATTAATTGTTTATTCTCTATTTAATAAATTATTACAAATATATGAAAAATTTAGGAACGTCATTCCAATAATGGCTGTTTTCATCCAGTGTTTAGAATTCAAATTGCTATTCTAGCAATTATCTTAATTTGACTAGAGATGAATAAAAAAATGTAGATTTGTCTCAAATGTCAAGTGTTTAGTCATAGCTGAAAGGACCATGGTGTTTCCATAGAGGTTACTCTGGTTTTATTTTTTTGTACCTTTTAGAATGAAGGATTGAAAATGGTTTTTAGTTGTAAACCACATTTTTTTATATATAAACAGAAACAGCAGTAGAAATGCATTCTCCGTCAGAGCGTTGCAATGTGAAAGGAAGAAGATTTTGAAAAAGAATGCTTTTTTCTAGTGAACAGCAAGTAAATGCAGGACTGAAAAAATACATTGTAGTAATGGAAGTGCAGCAGCAGGAAGTTGGTGGCTCTGTATCTGTTAGCGGAGTTTGTATGCAGTCATTCCAGTGGCCTACCAACGCAGGAAATTAAACACCGTGCAATAGGCATGCATTATTTTCTTCCCAGCTAAAGATATGGTTGTGAAAAAATGTTTATAAGCTTTCTTTTCACGTCCTGTGGGGATGTAAGGTGGTATCAGCAGGTTTGTTTTGGTTTGGAAGAAAAAATAGAAACCTAACTGTTAATACAGACATAACTTCAGATTTCAAAGTGAAACTGGGAAAGAGAGAGGGAGGCTGGTGTTCCAACAGGAAGGTCAAAAATTCAGCCACAGGTACCAGTATGTAATGTCTTATCTAGTTCTATTCTTATAAAGTGGCAAACAAGCTGTTTCCTGTTCCTTGGGAAAATCCATTTCCAAGTGTTTATGCAACTTTCTTAAAAGTATGTCCTTTGTCTTTTCTAGCTATGATTTAGATATGGTAGTAGTGCTTGACTTACCTAAAATAGTACCAGGAGGTCTGAGTTTACAGTGTGTACAGCTCGGAAATAGAAAGCATTATTTCTCCAGTGCTAAGAATGTTAAAAAGTTAGTAGTTATCTTTGTCTAAAATCTTACATATTTATTTAGATCATGTATAAAGTGGATAAGGGTGAGAGGAAGTGATAGCACTGTTTATAAATGTTGCAAAATAAATAGTTTAAAATTGATAGTGCAACTTTAAGTTATAAGTTGATGCATACTGATTTTCCCCTCTTATTTTCAAAAATTTTTGATTGCATTTGGATTTTTAACCTTTAGATTTATCCACTTATGGATGAAATTTGATTTTTTTTTGATGCTTCTTATGAACTCATTCGGTCACTAATTCCCAGTGAATATTTCAGTAGCACCTGTGTGTCTTCTTGCCCCCCTCTGAAGCCATAATATTGAGGACCTTTTTGTAATAACTTTTTATGTGTTTACTTAATTGTTCAGTAATACCCTTTTCCTCTTTTGGAGATACTTAGCACTGCATACAGACAGAGGTAGTGTGAAACAGATTTCTATCACAATTAGCTTGGTTTATGAGGATGAAGGATGTACAGTCTCTGCAGCTTTCAAGTCAAGCTGTTGGCATCAAATTTCATAAGAATACTACTATTACTGAATAAGAGGTGGAGCTATTAAGACATTTTTAGCCTTCAGTATTTAACATAGTCTAGACTGTCTTCCAAATGAAAGATTTGTGCAAATGAGGTAGATCACTGTAACTGCTTAGGGTCTAATGGGCTGTATTGAGTAAGCATGTAAATTCTAAATATTAATGTATATTAATAGATAATGTTAAAATCTTCCCTTTTCTCCATCCATAGGAGAAATTAGCGTTAGCATTCCAAAACAAGTCCAAGGCAACCATGTTGCTAATGGAAGAAAAATATTTTTTTTTTCTTTCATAATAATAGCTCAAAATAATTTGTATTGCATTTTACACTCAAATTCCAGGCTTATCTTCCTTGTATTCTATCCACTGTATAGCCATGATGTCCTTTATCTAACGTTAAAACAAGTTAGTTGTGTCCTGAGAATAGCTGTTTATGCAGTCAAAGTCAGAAAGCTGTAAAAAGATCTGAAGTACTTATGATGGTAGTTTTTAAAATGAACTTCTGTGGAAAATACAGTGCATGCTTGCTCAATGGATCTTACTGTTGATTGATTGGGGGGTTTTTTGTTACAGATATTGAGTAGACTTCCCAGTGCAAAACAAACCCCACTGTTCATAAAAGTACAGTACTTCTGGCTACTTGCTGTAGTCTGTGTTAATTTGTAAACTCTTGGGTAAATTGTGAGGCTAGTACCTACCCCTGTGTTCTTACTGGTTTCGATTTGTGAAATGTGTAGTTGTGTAGCGCATTGCCAAAACTACCCTTTCTATTTAACTTTTCCAGTGATTCTAAGGTTTACATAGTAAAGGTTATATGTAAATCTTTATGTTCATCTTTGGGTTTTGGTAATATTAGCTTGTTGTATAGAGTGGTATCATTTATGCTGTTGTGACTTCTTCAATAGTAACTTACTATGTGTCAAGAGTAGAAGATTTTTAAACTTGCAAAATTTTAAAGTATTAATAGTTTTTATATACATTTTAAGTTATATAAAGGTGTGTTGCAAACAATGAATTCTTTAAGCTATACAATCCTTTCTTTTGATCTTGGATTTTCAATAATATATAAATAACTTTCTTATAGCTGACGTAATGTCTCATGTATCTCTGCAGAGGATCCTCAAATTCATCACCAAAGGGTGAAGAACAAAAAGAATCTTTGATTTATCACTCGAAGGATCATTACCCCTTATCTGATGGAGAGTGGTCCCCTCTGGAGAAGTAAGTCACTTTGTGATGTCATCATATATATAATTAGGAATAATTAAAAAAAATAATGTACCCTTTTATTCATTTTCCCCTCTGATCTGTAAAGCTATCAAACATACCTACCTTTTGTGATACCGAATGCAGCATTTGGTACTTGGAACTTCAGGAGCTTTCCTCTCTACTGTATGTATTAAACAAAATTTGTCTTTTATTTTTTTTTCTCCATCAAATGAAAAAACCAAAACGTTCTTATTAAAATTCACAAAGAAAGAAAAGATAGTTAATAAGATTTCCTTAGGTTGAAGAGGGTATGAAAACAAATCTGTTCCCTGTGAATTCACCCTAGCATAAGCAACACTTGATATGCCATAAAGCAGAAGTGTTGAGTATGTAAGTCAGATTTTTGCCAGGTAAATTAATGCAAATTACTCAAGGTAAAGCTAGGTCCCAAACTTGAGTCATATTCCACTTCAGAACAGAGGATTTGCTAGTTACTGGAGTTCTGGTTCGAGATACCAGAACCAGTATCAGTTGATTGTGGATTATTACAAATGGCATAATACAGCTCGCCAGTCAGTTTTCAGTTAGTGACTAGAGCACTTCTGTTTATATGTTCAAGCTCTTCAGTTTCTGATGCTCATGCTATTATATTTCTCTTGCATTTAGTTTCTGTGTTTTCCAAGGCTCACACTTTGGCTTTCACCACTCTTAATTAACATCCATCTCTATTTGCATAAGAAAGCATTCTGCCAATATGAGGTAGTACTTGAGGTAAATTTTGTGCTTTTCCTGAACACTGGACATAGGGAAGGGTGTATATATATATATATATATATATATATAGCACATAGCATGCCGAGCAGTATCTTGATTCATCTTAACTCTCTGGTGAGTGTCTAGTTTTACTGCTTTGCAGTTTGACTGAGGAATCTGCCTCACAGCAGATACATTCACAGTGTCAGTGAGGATTACCGGTCAGCCTTGTGTGATATCCATTGTTGCATGTTAGCTGCTCAGTGCTCAGGTGCCTGTTCTTCTGTATCAATAGATGGTAGTGCAGAATAGAAGAGATTAAGCTTTAGAAAATACTTCTGCTTCAGCTGTTTCTGGAGATGTGGCCTCAGTAGAGTCTGAATGTACCACACCATGCTTGGTGCCTGCCAGTTCCCCCAGTACATAGCTTGTTGATGAACAGAAGGAGCTGGACAGGAAATCCCATTATCGTTCCATTTTATGTTTTGGGCTGACAACCACATCCTCACTTGTGCTTGATGAGATGTAGTCTTCAAATGTTCCCCAAAGGTTTGTGGTTTGTGACTGAAAACCTGTCACAATGTTTGACCCTGAGGACTGACATGGTGTTGTGTGGATTATATCACCTAGATAATTGTAGCATAAAGCTGATATTCTTTTTCAGTTTATAAAATCCTAGCTAACATAGACTGTCAGGCTATATCTGGGAGTTATGATTAAAGCTTCTTTTTTTGTTTACATCTTCAGGGGATAGTTTGCTTTAACAACTTGCTTCTGCATCATGTGAGATACTTAGGCTCTTTATAGGTTTTTTGTTTGGCTGGTTTTGTGTTTGGTTTTTTGTTTTTTTAACAAGAAGCTATCCAGTACAGATTGCAATGTAACAGAGAAATTGGCAATTTTCCTTTCCCTCTTTCGGAAGGGGGTTGGGTGGGGGATTGTCTCTTGTATGAGCCATCTAGGAGTTGAGAAATTTTACATCAAATTATTTCTCCTAAGCCACCAAAGAAAGATTCTATAATGTAACTGTCATATAGTGAAAGAGAAAAGGGAGGTTTTAATAACTGCCTTTTTGGAGACCTCGAAAAACTAATTGTCTTTTAGTTGAGGTTTGTCATCTTTCTCTTCAGAATCCTTGCAGGGAGCTAAGGGAAGATAATAGCTTAAGTTTTTTTCAGTGAGGACCCTTCTGTTTGTCCTACTCACTAGAATAAATCCAAAAAGCATAATCATTAACTATTTGATACCTTATACCATTAGTGTTCTTCCTGTTTTAACAAGCAATGTTAGCATGAATAGGTAACTATTACAGGCACAGACCTTTTGACCAAAGACTTCTCCCTGAGAATGATAATGGAAAACTTACACTTTGGGGGAAGTAGAACAAGTTTAGATTCTCAAAGCCCTGAAGTATTCAGTCTTTTGCAAGTACTGCTGCATATTAAGAATTAGACTTAGAAACAGTTTAATATGTCTGCATGGCCTCCAGTTGACT